GTGCTTTTTGCATCTGATCTCAAATGCTGGCTGTCTCCCCTACCACAGCGAGGTCTGTGTGTGCACCATGTGTGAGTTCTGGGAGCGGGATCCAATGGGGTGGGTGTGGAGGCCCATTGTGGGAAGATCAGGTTCCTCATCACAGTGGCACTAAGTCACCGATAATACTTTGTGATTTCAGTATCCCCGTAGATGATGGTTCTTCTGGATCATTCCAGAATTTCATGCCATGACAACCATGAAACTGCCCCACATAATTGCAAGCTCCATTCGTAAGGGTGGAAACACTCTAGATCTGATGTTTGCGTCAGGGGGAAGAGGTTAGAATGATGAATATTTCCTGTTATGGGACAACCACGTGCTTCTTTGATCTGAGATCAGGGTGCTCCCATCGCACCAAGGTGATGTGTTTTGATGGTTTGCCCTAGAGTAGTTCTCAACCCGTGGGTCAGCTGCGGCCCAATCAGCACACAACTGTGGCCCACGTGACATCCTCAGGGCCATACAGGTAGTATATATAGTGTGGATGTGGCCCACATAACACACAGAGAGTTGCATACGGCCCACAATGGTAAACAGGTTGAGAACCAATGCCCTAGAGACTGATGGAACCAGTGAGTTTCTAGGAGGTCTTGAGGGAGAAGGCTGTTCTTCCAACAGACCACTCTGTTGATAACTCAGTAAGACTTTATAACAGTTTTTTTTTTCCTCCACTACAGACAGTGACCCCAAAAGGCCCTCTCTCTCTGCTGTCTTTGGCTTCACAAATTACCTTGGCGAACTGTGACAGACAAAGCAAAAGGGGAGACTGCTAAAGCATTAAAAGCAGAAGCCTAAAGCAGAGCCTGACCACTTGTGGCACGAACAGCTCTTAAGATCGTATGCCATGGCTGTGCTAAGAAAGGTTTCTTCACTTCCACCATAGCATCTGCAACGTCTCGCACAGCAAAACTGTTCCAAGTGACAGCTGACAGCTTGGTGAATCCTACTGCCTCCCCTCAGTTGCCAAGTCAAGTTTCTCTCATGAAGTTTTCATGTTACGTTCCAAACATGAGAAATTTTGTCTGCACTGGGCTATACTATATCTTGAGAGGACACACACACTGTCTTCTCTGCTGAGTTTTGGCAGGCATTGTTTGCTGAGATTACAGAGATGCTGGGTCATCTTCATGTCACAACCTGAAATCTGGACTCTTGTCATTCCTGGCAGATGAACACCAGTAGAGAAACTGGGTCCATTGCTGATCAAGATTGTCAATGTTTCCCCAGTGTTGAGGCCCATGCTCAAGAAATCAATTCCTGATGTCAACAATCTGGCTAACTATCTATCCACTATTGTCCCATCTCCCATTGTCAGGGAAGGTTAATTAGGATGGGAGTGACAAGGCAACTCTGGCAGTCTGATTCCTTAGATTCTACCCAGTCTTGCTATAGGCCTGGATATGGGGTAGAAACTGCATTGATTACGTTAGCTGCTGATCTCCTCCTAGTAGTGGAAAAAGTGTCCATGATGATTCTTTTAGATGTACCTTTGATACAGCTGACCATACAATTTTTTGGTTTCTTTTGCGGACATTAGCAGGGATGGATGTAGCTACTCCTGGGCAGCTCCATTCCCATCTTTCTGACAGAACCCAAAAGATAGCTGTGGGCAACTGTCCCATGTCACAATGGATCTCGTTTGCAGGGTGCCACATGGGTCAACAGAATCAACTCTTTTGTTCAATGTGTATAAGACACTCCTCAAAGAGAGTAAGGGAGGTGACATGGGCTGCACTCTTTTCAGTACACTGATGACATCCAGTCCTACATCTTCATCAGTATGACCCAGAGAGAGCAGCAAAACAAATTATCAAGTGCCTAGATGAACTTGAGACTTGAATGAGAGTTAGCTGGATACAACCCAATCCAGACAAGACTGAGAAAATGTTGGTGGGCTGGAGAAAGCAGCTGGATCTTATTGGGGGATCTTATTTTAGCACCCCTCATTCACAGAGTGCAATTGCCATTTGCAAACAGGTGAACCACTTGAAGCTGTTGTTATATCCTGGGCTGCTCTGGACTGCCCAGGTAACAGATGTGGCCAAGAGGGCACTTTTCCCCATCTACACTGGCAAGACAAGTGCGATGTTTTCTCTCCAAAATGGAGTTTGCCACAGTTTTCCATGCCATGAAGATAAGATTGCTGTAATGTGCTCTCCGTGGAGCTGAGTGCCAGGACCATTCAGAAGCTGAAGCTGGTACAGAATCCTGCAGCCCATTTATTAAATGGAGTTGCACGATGGGAACATATCCAATCAGTGCCGCATGATCTGAACTGACTTCCAATAAGCTTCCAGGTGGAATTCAAGGGGTTGGTTTTGCCTACAATGCCCTAAATGGTTTGGAACCTGGTTACCTGAGGGACTGCCTCTCTCTCCATGACATGCCGTTGCAACTGAGATCTGCAGAGATGCTCGAAGAGCCGTTCCTTTGATATAAAGAAAAAGAAGCAGCTGGCAGGGCATTCTCTGTGAAAGGTCCTCAGTTTTAGAACTCAGTCCCAACCGTGGTTCACGAGGGCCCAGATTTCTTAACCTTCTGGGCACACTGAAAAGTCAAGCTTTTTTCACTCTTCTCTAACGCAGTTTAGAAAGACACGGGCTGACATAGATACAGTTATGGGAAGTACCTTGTTTATGTTGGTCTCTGTTGTGATTTTTAATTTAATATTCCAGAGCACTCGACGGGCACCTATAAATAAACCAATAAATGCCACAAAGAAACAATCCTCAATGTCTTCAAGTCACACTTCACTTACGCTTCATCTTGCCACCAGACTGCATTCGTTTCTCATGCCAGCCAGACTGAACACCAGTCATGCCCCTGACCACCTAATCACACTCCTTCCACAATGCCCATGAACCCACGGTTTTTACATGCCTACCAGACCCATGTCCCCCAAGCCCCACTCTTTCCCAGGGACAGAACACAGATATTTGCAGATAGCTTGGACTCTTCTGCCCTCATGCCTGTACTGAAACATATGAGGAATTGTGTTTGGGCTCAGCAGAGGCTCAGTACAGCTGCATGCCCTACATTTGTGTCAGTGCACACAGTGAGTTTTATCAAGTCTCATCAAATGCCCAGCACAGGTAACCACCACGCCAGTGACAGTGCATGCAGAGAGTTGAGTCAGGCCTCAAGTCAGGGGGATTAAGATCTATGCTGGTAATTGTGAAGATGGTACAATATCATGGTGAGGATAGTGATTACATTGAACTCTGTCACTTTTCAGCAGGAGATGGTGCAAGCGGGATGTTAGGCCAAGCCACTGGAAAGCACGTGCAATGAGCTGCACCAGGTGTTAGCAGGAGTGATCTCCGCCTATTGTGAGAATGGAGCATGCCATGGGTAGTATCAGGTCTCTGTAGGAAAGCCTTGGTTTCAGGATGGGTTTGGTGCATGTAGAGAAGAGTGGCAGGCCTCAGTATGGGAGTCCTCTAGGTTCCCAAACCAGGGACAGTGTGCATACAGTGAGTCATGTCGGGCCCCACCAGGAGAATCTCTTCTCTCATGGTGGGGATAGTGTAGGCAGTGACCTGAGTCAGGCCTCAGTAATGGCCCCACTAAGCCGGGAATGTTGCATGCAATGAGCTATGCCAGGTATCAGCAGAGACAACTTTCTCAGGGAGGATGATGCAAGCAGTGAACTTTGTCAGGCAACAGATGATGCATGCAATGAGCTCCCAAGATTCAGTCTCGGGATGATGCACACAATAAGATGTGTAAGGACTTAGGCGAGAGCTCCTTTCAGAGGTATGATGCATGCAGTGAACTGTGCCAGGTCTCAGCAGGGGGCCTCCCCCAAGGCTGAGGTGGGTCAGCTCATGGCCAGGGGATAGTGCATGCAGTGAGCTCAACCAGGTCTCAGCAGGGGGCCTCCCCCAAGGCTGAGGTGGGTCAGCCCACGGCAGGGGGGATAGTGCATGCAGTGAGCTGTGCCGGGTCTCAGCAGGGCGCTCCCCCCTCAAGGCTGAGGTGGGTCAGCCCACGGCAGGGGGGTGGTGCATGCAGTGAGCGGTGCCGGGTCTCAGCAGGGCGCTTCCCCCCCCCCCCAAGGCTGAGGTGGGTCAGCCCACGGCAGGGGGGTGGTGCATGCAGTGAGCTGTGCCAGGTCTCAGCAGGGCGCTCCCCCCAAGGCTGAGGTGGGTCAGCCCCCGGGAGGGGGGTGGTGCATGCAGTGAGCGGTGCCGGGTCTCAGCAGGGCGCTTCCCCCCCCAAGGCTGAGGTGGGTCAGCCCACGGCAGGGGGTGGTGCATGCAGTGAGCTGTGCCAGGTCTCAGCAGGGCGCTCCCCCCCCAAGGCTGAGGTGGGTCAGCCCACGGCAGGGGGGTGGTGCATGCAGTGAGCGGTGCCGGGTCTCAGCAGGGCGCTTCCCCCCCCCCCCCCCAAGGCTGAGGTGGGTCAGCCCCCGGGAGGGGGGTGGTGCATGCAGTGAGCGGTGCCGGGTCTCAGCAGGGGATGGGCGGGGCCTGTAGCTTCTCCAGCATTCCCGAGACCTTCAGCGGGGAAAATCCCTCCTCCGCTTACACAGGCGGCGGGAGCGCACGGGGAGGGGAGCCAGATCTCCGCTGCCATTGGCTGCCGTCGCCGTCCATCCGACCACGGTGACCAACGCTAGCACAGGGTCTGTGGTCGAGCGCGGGGAGGGGGTGGGCCTCGGTCCCGCCTCGGCCAATGGGGTGGGAGAAGGTGGGCGGGGCTACCCCCGTTCGGGGGGACAAGATGGCGGGGGGGGTTCTTACCCCAGCTTTCCCCCCCCCCCAACCCCACCTCACCGGCCGCCACCCCTTTCAGCTGCCCCCGCTATAAGGCGCCGCAGCGGCGGCCGCGCTCCCCGCCCCCCGCCCCAGCCGCGCCCGGCCCGGGGACGGCCGCCGCCCCGCCCGCCCCCCCCCGGGTCACCTTCCCGCGACCCCCCGGGGTGGGGGGTGCCGGCCCCGCGGGCTCCGCTTTACCTGGCCGCGCTGCCGCCGCCTGCTCCTCCCTCCTCCGCCGCCGCGGCGGCTCCGGCGCGGGGCGGGCTCGCGGGGGGGGGGGGTCGGGGGGACAAGATGTCGGCTGGGTCGGGTCCGCTCCGCCGCCTCCGCGGCTGTCGCCTCAGCGCCGCCCCCGCATGCCACCGCCGCGGCGGCTCCGAGCCCGGCCCCGCTGCTCCCCGCGCCGCGCCCCCCGGGGCCCCCTCGCTCCGCCGCCGCGGCTCCGGCTCCGGCGGCTGCTGCTGCGGGGGGGAAGCAGGGAGGCGGCGGCGGGGGGGGACAAGATGGAGGCGGCGGCGGCGGCAGCGCAGCCCGGCCGAGCGGAGAGGGAAGGAGGCAGCGAGAGAGCGGGCGGGGGAGGGGGCTGCAGCAGCTTCGCTCCCCCCCACAGGCAGGGACCGCCCCCCCTCGCTCCCCCCTCCCCGGACACCACAGAGCGGGAGGCCCGGGGGCAGCGGCCTCTGGGGGGGAGGGGAGCGGGGACGGCCCGGCTGGAGCGCCCCCACCCCCGCTGGGGGGGGGCTGTCCCCCTGCCTCCAGTGCGCTGGGGGGGGGTGACCTCCACCCCATATGTTAAGCTGGGGGGTGGCCCCGTGCCTCCAGTGTGCTGAAGGGGGCGGGCAGGCTGGGGGGGTGACCTCCACCCCATATGTTAAGCTGGGGGGCTGTCCCCTTGCCTCAAGTGTACTGGGGGGGTGACCTCCACCCCATATGTTAAGCTGTGGGGGTGGCCCCCTGCCTCCAGTGTGCTGAAGGGGGTAGCCTTGGGTGTGCCCTCCCTCTTCCAGTGTGCTGAAGTGAAGGGCAGCCTGGGGGTACCCCCCTGCCTCCAGTCTACTAAAGGGGGGGGGACAGCCTGGTAGGTGACCCCCACTGGGCTGAACTAGGGCGTGTCCCCCTGCCTCCAGTGTGCTGAAGTGAAGGGCAGCCTGGGGGTACCCCCACTGGGCTGAACTGCCTCCAGTCTGCTAAAGGGGGGGGACACAGCCTGGGAGGTGACCCCCACTGGGCTGAACTAGGGGGTGTCCCCTTGCTTCCAGGGTGCTGAAGGGGCAACCTGGGGTGTGCCCCCTCCCAGTACACTGAAGTGAAGGGCAGCCTGGGGTGGTGACCGCCACCCTCATATATTAAGCTGGGGGCTGTCCTCCTGCCCCCAGTGTGCTGAAGTTGGGGTACAGCCTTGGGGGTGACCCCCACCCTCATCTGATGGACTGGGGGTAGTTTGGGGGTATCCCCTCATACCTACCCCCACTGTGCTGAAGTGGGGGGCCCACCCTGGGGATGTCATTGCACCCCAGTATACTGATGGGCAGGCTTAGGGTGTGCCCACCTCTACAGTGTTCTGAGAAGACGGGTGAGTTTTCCTTCCCCCACACACACCCAGCAACTTGGGATTTTCTCCCTTCTCATTCCCCCAAAATATGCTGAAGGGTCAGCCTGAGTGCCACCTCTCACACTGTGAATGCACTCTGTGTGCTGACTGCTCTGCGTCATATTGCACCCCTTTCCAACCCCACCTCAAAGGCAGCCCAGAACCTTGTCTCTATTGCTGTTCACCTGAATGACCAAGATTAAACAAATGGCCAGAACAATACAATCCACATTTATTTTGTAGGGCAGCATTCATGCAAACAGTCACCTAAAGTATTGGGGAGTTACACAATAGAACAGCAACTGAGGGCAAGAGTAATTAAGGTTTGGGCAAGGAAGAAACTAGGTTTTGAGCTGGGAAATCAGTGAGGTGGAACCAGGGTTCCCAAACATTAAATGTGGTCGCCCTATAAAAAGGTCTCATGGACACCCCACCTCCCAGTCATGATCAGGCATAAAATCCCTGTATAGAATTAGGTGGAAAATTCTGATTAAAGCTCAACAAAAAATGGAAATGAAAACTTTAATGATTTTTCTCTCATTTACTGACCTGAGTTTTAACTTTTGATGTAATTTAGCAGTAGAATGTGAGCCAGCAGTATCTGACATTCAGCTTTGCAACTCACCCATGGTCCAAGGACCCCAGTTTGGGGAAACTAACTGTTTAATAACACTGGGAAACTTGTGCTGAATATTGTAGAGAAGGACATGCATAATTTAGGACCATATCAGCTGCAAAATTTAAGCCACCTTTCTTTTCCAAACCATGCGTCAATGCATTCTTTTCTTTAAAAAACGGGTAACGCCCATATGCCAGAACTCTGAACTCTTCAGTAACGCATACTGGCTTATATGCTGCGCTTGATAAATGCATCAGTGGGAGTTTTGGAAACAAAGGGCCAAGAACTGGTACTATTACAAAACTCTCATCAGTTTTAGTGGGATGGCAACTGGCCAGAAATTAACAATTACTGTGGCCCAATCTTATTAATGAAGCATAATATTCTTTACAAAATAGATATTCCAAATATCTGAAGCAGGAATGTTGGTGGGGAAGACCCTTCTCCTTATTCCTAAAAGAATAATTTCAATAATTAACTCATTTCCCTTGTTTATATGTTAAACTTCATTTTCATTTCAAACAGAGGCGGTTTTTTGTGTGTTTACATAGTTTTGGCACATAGAGTGATGTAACTTGTACCAACTGCTTTACTTTGGCTTCATCTGGGGGTCTCTTTAACCCTTTAGGCTACGTCTACCTCACGAGCTAGGGGTATGATTCCCAGCTTGCTCAAGCACTAGCTCTCATGTGAGCTAGCACGCTAAAAATAGAAGTGTAGGCGTGGTATCATGGGGCCATAGCTGCTCCAAGTACATACCCCTGGGGTGCAGGCAGGTTTGTACTCAGGGTACCATGTAGTGCTGCTCACTACTGCCCATGCTGTCACAGCTACACTGTTCTTAGTGTGCTAGCTCAGATGAAAGTTACCGCAAGTAGGTGTATGGGAGATAAGAATCACACCCCTACCTCACAGTGCAGATTTACCCTTAGGCTTGCACTGAAATTGCTATCTTTATGAGATTAGACCCCAGTCTTGTAAAGATTTACACATGTTTAACGTCAAGTTTGTGAATAATTCCACTGAGTTCAATAAGACTACTCATAGGCATAAAGGTAAGCACACACATAAACCTTTGCAAGATTGAGGGCCTTGCGTTATAACAGGTTCTCCATCATTTAATTTTACAATGTATCTGTGGAACTAATGTGTTATTTGAAAAAACATTCAAACTTATCTTAATGTCTCAGAGGGACACCTTAATTCAATTTATTCTCTCTACCCGTTTTTAAAGGGTGCAAGTTCAAAATTAATGCTGCTCCTTCAAAGGAAAATGACAGGCAATGAAGCTTAAACAGACCTGTGTGCCTTCGGTTCCAAATCATAAATTTCTTCAGCTTCATTCTTGTACATTTGTATTTAAACATGAGGAAATTTACAATTTGGAGTTGAAGGTGTGCAGTTGCATTTGTAAATCTGAAATATTAATACATTTTAGCTATTTGTTCAACTTAAATATATTGTGTCATTTTTAAAAATGTTCTTAAAAATACCATTGCTAAAAGGCACATTAAAGATTAAAGCTTGATACTTAGAGGCAACTAACATTCTCAGCTCCCATTTATTTCCAGATGGAGTTGCAAGTGCTCAGTTACATTTTTAAAATGGTGACAGGTTTCAGAGTGGTAGCTGTGTTAGTCTGTATCAGCAAAAACGAGGAGTCCTTGTGGAACCTAGAGACTAACAAATTTATTTGGGCATTCATGCATCTGATGAAGTGGGTTCTAGCCCACAAAAGCTTGTGCCCAAATAAATTTATTAGTCTCTAAGGTGCCACAATGGACTCCTTGTTGTTTTTACTTTTAAAATGGCATTCTAAGGCACTGATCTTGCCTGTGATACCTGAGAACCCATGCCCATCTGGAGTCCCACTCGCTTCAGCAGGGCTTTGCATATGCATCAGGATCCACCCAGATGGAACAGCTTACAGGACTGGGGCCTAACTGATCCATTTATATATCTGTGATGTGGATAAATCTTTTTGACATTAATAGGCAAACTTTTGTTTTAAAACAAACCCATTTGTTTGTTTTGAGCTTGAACTTATCTGCAAAAAAGTCTGAAACCACGATGCCAATGACTGAAATTGGAGTGGTTTCCATTTTTTAAATTCTTTATTTAGAAAAAGAGTTTGAAGGATTTAAGTCACTTTTATGAAATCAAAATTACAATAGGGCTGAAGACAAGTATGCTAAGCTTGCAATATGATATAAAGGGTCAGAAATATGACCTTTCAAAAAAAAGCAGTCATCAATCAACAGAAACGTTGATGGAATTAAATGTGAAGCGGCACTGGCTATGCCACAGTATTAGAAGCGTGCAAACTTGGCATGCTCAGAAAATGTCTCTTTGGGCAAGGATTCTGATAAAATACTACAATACATGTACAATGTTCACCTGTATATACTGAAACTCCTATCCTGAAATGATGCTGATGGACAAATCCTTCTAAATACAGTGTGCTTAGACATGTTACACATATGGCATAGACATAACCTCTAGTAACGGTGCCCCGTCCTAGGATAAGCTCATTTGTTTGATTGAATGGGTTCTCAAATGTGGACTGCATCTTAACAGAGAGGTCTCAAAGACACCACCTCATGTGCCATTTACTGTTGCATGACATCCCTAGGGAAAGCCTTGATTACATGGAAAAATATTAGGAAAGTATTTGTGTATTTTTACCTATCACTACTGCAATAAGTGTTTCTTTTATGGGAGGAGGAAAAAAGCACACTGTTTTGCTTTTGTTTGTTTGTTTTTCAATCGTCCCCTTCCACCAGTTTTGTTTCTCTGGGGTAGAAACAAGAAGAGTCCGTATCCAGGGACAAGCCAAACCTCCACAGACCATTCACATCACAAGTTTAGGTAGGAGTCAGCCAATACAATATGAGAACCCAAAATCATCATTCTTCCATTATCTCATTAATGTGAACAAACTTCTTCAGAGATTATCATTTCCCTTCAGTTTTTTCTACATCAAATTATCAGTCTAACACTTGAAAGTGACTTGCCTGCCCAGTCTATTCCTTAGAATGTTTACAGTTTAAATGTGAAATCAGGTTTTATTTTTTATCCTATGGGACAAAATAAAACCACCTGTTTTCCAGGCAACTATAGGTGCTTTCCAAAGATCCACATGAAAAGGAAATTGAATGCCTTCTAGTTGGTTTCCAAAGTGTTGAGTTCCTGTTAGAGAATTCCACAATATAGCAGGTCCTTTTGAAGAAGAAAAGATTTGGCTTCATCCTCTTCTTTTCCTACTGATATTTCTAACAGAGTAACAAAGTAACTATTCACAGATCTGATTTAGAAGATAAGAATGGGCATAGTGGGTCAGACCAGAGGTCCATCTGGCCTGGTATCCTGTGTTCTGACAGTGGCCTGTGGCAGATGTTTCAGAGGGAATGAACGGAACAGGGCAATTTCAAGTGATCCAATTGCAGCTTCTGGCAAGTTGGAGGTT